TAAGTTGAAATGGGGGTGTCTATATGTACACCCCCTCAAGTGTAAAAAAGGGGTGTACATATAGCACTTTTCTTTGTGTAATTTATTAAAAGGGGGTGTACATATAGCATTGCCCGTTGAAATACCCAAAAATATATTCAAGGCCCACTATGTCGGTCGGCCTTTATTAGACTATTCTTATTCCCAACCCAACCCAACCCAACACGACTCAACCTAACAATTAAAAATTATTTCTCTCTTCTCCACCTACACAACTCAACTTTACAACTCAACTAGTACAACACTCGTGTATTACACGGGTACTTGCTAATTTTTTTCTTAAAATTTTAAATTACTGAAAAAAAATAGTTGAAAATTATATATTATTATATATTTAGTATAACACCTTTTATTTGTGCAACTTATCTGTGTTATATTATAATAATATTTTTAACTTACAACATATAACTATATTAAACATAAATATATCAATTGAAAAATAATTTTATTTTTCTAATGAATTTTAATAAATATTATTATTTTTATTATTATAAAGATAAATATAATTTATTTATTTCATATATATAATATGGATGTCAAATCGAAGATCATCAAAAGATGATTAATTTGATATATTATATATGTAAAACCGATAAAAAATACAAAAGTTATCAACTTTTAAAATACATTTACAATTCAATAGGTAATTGAAGGAAGCAAATCAAAAGTCAGGGATATATTAGTCACTTAGTGTCTCATATCTAAAATTATAAAGAATTAAAGGGTTATATTAGTACAAGTGATATTAAAATACCTAATTTAGCTAAATAATATTTATGGAATGCCCGAACCTAGATTATTAATTATTAATATATCAATATTATTTGTCGAAACCTAATTACGAAGCATGATTTTTCGCCAAGCAGGATTTCGAAGTACCAGAAGCAGCCACGTAGGTTCAGCGCGTTCAGGAATTATATATAGGGGAGATTTATCTTTATCCACAACCCAACTCAACCTAAATATTTATTTTATTTTAATATATTTAAAAATTTTAATTATAATTCAAAATATATCAAGTGTGGTCTCTATTTGTAGAGAATTAAAAAATATAAAATTCAGTATTTTTTTATTTTTTTATTTTAACTAAAAAATTACATTTACTCATTAAAAATAAGACAAACGTCCCATATTTATCAACAGGAGGGTCGCGACCCAAGGTCACATTGTGACCTGGGTCGCTGAAAGTTGCGTCCCTCTTTAAATTTTTTTTTCTTTTTTTCTTTTTTTTTTTTTGCTTTTTTAATGTCGTGACCCATCCATGGGTCACGGCTAAAAATGGTCTTATGCAAAAGCTTGTATTGTATCAGTAATGTTCATCTATTTACGATAGACACATGTTGATATGTCTACTGTTTATGTGACATGCATATATTGGTGATATTAATATGTTCAAAAAAATACATCATTAATGTGTGCATGTCACATAAGCGGTGGACATATTAATATGTTCCACCGTGGGTAAGGGAGCATTAATGTGTATTGTATTAGGTGAGTACTAAGTACATAAGAGCACTCCATTGCTTTGGGTCTCTTTTTGTGTATGTGGCATATAATTGGATTTGAGTCTTAAATGACATGGACAAACCCAAGTGAAAAAACCCAAAAACACTCCAATGCAAAAACAAATTATATGTCTAGACTATTAAAAAAAAAAGGGAAAATTGTGAATGATTGATGGCTAGTCAGGTTTGTGCTTGGGTCCAAAATAGACTCAATGGTGGGCTTGGTATATTTTTTTATTGCCACATAAGTTAGATTATGTCCAAATTTAATTGCATTGGATGACATTTTTTGATAGACCAACATAATTCCTACATGGCATGTACTTTTTTTTTAAGAGACCCTATACATTGTGGGTGCTCAAGCTAACTTACAAATTATTAGCTCAAAAGTTAACTTACAAATTATTAGCTCAAAAGTTTTCTGTATTCATGTAAGTTTGGTTTGTTATGACGAGTTTTTTTAATAAGTTCGAGCTTTTCTTATATGCTTCATTATGTAGCATTTTACATAAGAACATTGAAATTTTTATGTATACTATCTTATTAGCTAATTTACCAAACACTTTTATCATATAAGCTAGTTTTTCAACTATAAATCATAAGTTATCAGCTATAAATTAAAAATTTACTTAAAAGCTATAAACTAGTTTATCGACTATAAGCTAATTTATCAGCTAAGTTTACCAAATGTAACCTTAGATATACAACCATCTAAAAGGAATTCGACTATCAACGATTTCCTGAAAACATATCTCTCTTATGTTATGTGAAAGTGTTAATGGCCTTTACGCCTCGATACATGACAGTAAGCTCAATTAGTGAAATGTTTCCCAATAATTGTTATTATTTATTTTCTTAAGGTTATAGTTGGTAAAACTAAGTGATAAGTTAACATATAACTTCTAGATGAAATTCGAGCTTATAATTTACGACTGGAAATCTAGCTTATATGATAAATTACAATTTTTTAAAAGGTATAATGTTATGATATAATTCACCATGATTTTCATTTTTCCAATTTCCCAAATATTATTTTTCATCATATTCTAATGAAATAAAATCAGATTATTATTATTATTATTCATATTTCCTCCTCAAATCAAACCCCAAATGTTTACTAAAAATTATTTACCCCTGTTTTCTTTTGGCTCACCACAATAATGGCCTTTCATGTTGCTTGCCCAATTACATGGTAAACCTTCTCTAATCTCCAATTTTTTTATGGCACACACTCGTATGCGTATCTCCATATGAATAATAATCTCCCTCTCCCAAGTTATTTCATATTTTTTTCCCGGTATTCTCTCCGGAGTGTGTTTACGCGGTGCTCCGGCTGAGATGCGCTTTGATTTTCTGACGTATTTCTCACTCTTTTTGCTCGCTTTTGCAGCCGGAGGATATGTTTCTGTGCTCTAGGGTTTCCTCGGAAGCTCCGTGACGAGAAGGGCAAGGAGGATTTCTTGGAGGAGGTTGCTAGGGTTGAGCAGTTCTTGAGCGACCCGTGGTTGATCAAGGGGAGGGAGAATGCGACGATTCAGGTCAAGGTTCCCAAGGTTGTTGCATCTCCGGCCCCTCAGCTGCCTCTGCCGGCGCCGCAATTGCCGCTCCCCGGATCTGTGTCCGGTGGAGGCGCCGGAGACGAGGCAGCACTGGCGGCATCGGCGCTGGTGAAGAGGGCGGCGCTGCAGAAGCAAGCTGCTGCGGCGTCGGTGGTGGCCGAGGATTATGCCAGGAAGTTTGAGTCCGGTGATTTGATAGTGAGTTATCTTTCTTCTTTTTTTCTTTTGTCTTTAATTTATATATTTATTTTTCATTTCCCAAATATACAATTTAAATTGTCTCATGTTTGTACACGCTTCCCATTTCTGGTTATTTCTTGTGAAATATGTGATGTGTGGTGGTCTCTTATATACTCTGAATTAGTGATTTTTCTCAGTTTTGATTTTGTGCTGAGATATTTGTATTCTAATTTCAAATATGGGGTTTCACTAGAAGGAATTAACAAGTGTTGTATTAATATGCTAATGTTTGTTAAGAAAGTAGTTCCCTTTTCGTTTTAACTACGCTGTTGCATTTTTCCTGCTTGATCAGCTCCCCTCAACTGTGTTCCATGTGTTGCTTTAGATGTTTTTTCACTTAACAACTAGGTGGAAACTTTAGTCAGTTTTCTTTATTTATTTATTTTAGAGATAATGTCATACTGTCTTGTATGTTTTGTTTGGAGATAGCTTAGCTGGATTCATGCATATTGACTGCCATGCTCAGTTTCAAAGTGTCCATTATAATGAATTGTTTATTGTTCAGTGATTTTGTCTTCGAAAGATAATCAATATGCAATAGTTCTGCTTTTTTTTTTACACGTCAGCTTGGTGAAAGAAGGCCTTTTGTCTGTAGTTAATAGTTATGGCATACACACGACATATCTGTTCTAATGGTAATGATGTTTGCAACTTTGAATATTTAAAGACTGTTGGCTTGTTCAACTATATTTCTGCAAGATGCTTACAGAATTAGTTGCATTCTTTCCCTAGCTGATTTCTGGAAAGGATGCTGCTGGGGGGGAGGAAGGGCAGTCAACTGCCAAAGTATTGTGCCGCCTATGCTTTTCTGGCGAATATGATGGAAGTGAAAGGGCAAAAAAGATGCTACCTTGCAATACTTGTGGGAAGAAGTATCACCGGAACTGTCTGAAAGCATGGTCACAAAACAGAGGTACTGTCTCTGGCTGCAATTTATTGTTCTTAATGTGTCTGAACGTTGTGATGAAATTGTTTGTTTCAGATCTTTTTCACTGGAGTTCTTGGACTTGTCCCTCTTGTCGTATGTGTGAGGTAAAATTTGTTGCCTTAGCCCTTAACAATTGTGCCTAATTCTGTATGAAATGGTTTTTTGAATTAGGTTACCTGACATTATCAGTATCAGTATGAGAAGCATTTCACTTGATTAGGATTATTTACATATGTATATGGAGTTATGCTGAAGTTATGCTGAAGTTTGAAGTTATGTTGAAGAAATTTGTTTGGAGGTGCTTAAGAATGAAAAAATTTCTGAAGAAACTGCTATAGTGCAAGAGTTATTGATTTTTTGTGGATGGATGTGCATGCTTTTTATAGATAATTATTTGCTTGAGGTTTGGTTATAACTTATAAGTTGGCGACGTCAACTGAGTGTTGTTTCTTTTTTGCACTTTTTGCATTTGTTTCACTTGCTTGTTAGTGCTTGGGACATTTTTTCAGCTTCTAATCAATTTTTGATGTTGGTGATCGATATTGTTATGTACCATGCTCTATATATTATTGTGGTTTCATGGTTGCCATAGATCTGCAGAAGAACTGGAGATCCTAACAAATTCATGTTCTGTAAAAGGTGTGATGATGCATACCATTGTTATTGCCAGCAACCTCCACATAAGGTAATACTGTTGATTTCTAAAACCTTGAAGATATACTTATTGATCAGCTTATAATTTCACCTTGGTATCATGCAGAATGTTGGTCATGGACCTTACTTGTGTCCAAAACATACCAAGTGTCACAACTGTGGTTCTGCTGTTCCTGGAAATGGCCTAAGTGTAAGGTATGACTTTCTCTACCAGAATTTGTTATTTTGATTTGTCTTGTATTACACTGGTTAACTTTTACCTTTTCTCTTTTAAATTCTCTGTTGTTTTAGTTTGTTATTATTAATAATATTTGACTGATTACTTTTGGATTGTGGGTAATGTATCTGTGATATCTGTATCTGTATGTGTAGAACTTAATGTGATTATTTCATGCGTACACATTTGTCTGCAGTAATATTCTCTGTATGCTTACCTGATAGGCTAATCACTCAGATAATGTTGTGCTCTTTTTTCTCCTCTCTTTCCTTAGGATAGGTATAAAGGTAAATATATTTTATAAATGTCTTAAACTTGCCTTGTCTAATATAGTAATATGAGATGCGAATTATTTATCTATTATCATCAGTTAACTTCTAATTGGTATTGGTCATACTGAAGTACCAAAAATCTATTTTGCTGGATATTTCTAATTCTAAATTGTCTTTTAGAATAAAAATATGATAAAATGTTAATATAATTTATGACGCATGAGTATAATTACCAAGTGCTTATCGGATTATACATTGATCCCATTGCACATTAAACTTTATAATGTTAATGTTTATTTCGAGAAACAGACTATTGGAGTTCATTGGTTTTGTTATTCCTTTTTTTTTTTTCAAGGAAGCTTGATCCCATGAGAGGTGTTGTATTGGTCACGTTGAATGTAATAAGTACAAATACTAATGAAAATAATGTTTAAACTATTGAATGACACAGATGGGTTCTTAGCATACCTCTGCATATTTAGTGTCTGCATGCATGTGTCAATTTAATATCATATGCAAAATGCATACAATACATATGTTCCCACCTCTACAGTCAAGGTTTACCTCGGTTAATTACAGTTCTCTTCCAAGCTGGAACTGTTTGGCTCATATAATGTGTCTATTTAGAGTTTTTTCATGATGAAAGTACACTATAATTTTTTTACAGTTCTTGTGATCATTGTTGATCCTCCTTAATAAAAGGACTTGAAGTCTTTGCATCTAGTTAATTTCTCATGTGCCGAAATTGTTATTCGTATGAAAAGCATGAAGTTGTTTTTTATTTTCATGTTTTTCCTCCGTTTCCCTCAATAAAAAAAGGAAGTGGGAAATGAAAGAAGAAAATGATGGAGAGAGAGAGAGAGTGAGAGAGAGAGAGAGAGAGAGAGAGAGAGATTATGGAAATAAAATGCACTATTCTCATATCTGTTTGTGAAATGATGCAGATGGTTTTTGGGCTATACTTGCTGTGATGCATGTGGAAGATTGTTTGTGAAGGGAAATTACTGCCCTGTTTGTTTGAAGGTACTGTTTGGTTCCCTGTCATTTCATTTGGTTTATTTTTGACACTAGGTGTATCAACACGCTGTTTATCCTACTTACTAAAGCAGCACAAGTTGATTTCTCAATTATTGGCCTCACACAATGCAGGTCTACAGAGACTCTGAATCAACTCCCATGGTGTGCTGTGATATCTGTCAAAAATGGGTGCACTGTCCCTGTGATGGGATCAGGTTTCTACATCTCTTGTATCTCAAACTTATTTGGATTGATCATGTCGTTTTATTTTCTGATTTGGGGCCCATTCTTCATTCTTGTCATGTGATTGGAAGATGAAGTTTTGTATAACGTTGATGTTCAAAATGGCATTACATTGAAAATATATAATTTGAGCTTTATTCACAACAAGTGAATTCCAACATTCACGTGGCAGAATTCTCGTCTTTTTTTATGATTTTGGCTACTTAAGTTTCCCTTTCTTGCATGATTGTTGCTGTTAATGTTGTTGTTTTTGTTTTAGTTTTTGTGTTTTTGTGTTTTTTCTTTAATTGCAATTATGTGTTGTGTACAAGTGAATTAAGAGTTTCTAGAAATTATAGTTTATGTAGGCCGAAAATATTGTTGGAACGAGATTGACAAGTTTTAAGTGAGCTTGCTAGGTTTCTTTCTTTTATCTCCCACAAAATTTTGTAGTTTCTGTTATGCAGCAGAAAATATCTGACTCGTCTATTTTCCCTCTCCAATCTGAAAATTGTTGATCGGAACATTTACTGAATATAGGTGAAGGCCAATAAATGTTATTGGAATTTGCTTGAAATTACTATGTAGCTACTGAACTAAGGCAGTTTAAACCAGTAAACTAATATCATATTTCATGTAATGAGGATTAATGTACGCCCTAGTTTGCAAGAAGGCATTTTAACCTGATTTCCCTTTCAGTGTTTAGTGTTGATTAAAGAGCTAAAAAGAGTTTATAAACCAAGATAGGAGGGTCTGAGAATTAAAGGACCAAAAGTTAAGTGACTGTGAAAAGTCTTTCCTATTTTCTGCTTATGTCATATTAACACTCTCAGGCATCTCGAGGCGCGAGCCTCTTTGGGGTTCGGTTTGGCGCATGTTGTACTTCACCATATCTGACCTGGTGGTTTCTTCTTCTGGATTTAAACTTAACATGGTTTCTAATAATTGTTGGAAATTTGTTTCCAGCGATGCAAAATACATGCAATTTCAAGTTGACAGAAATCTCCAATATGTTTGCCCTACTTGCCGTGGAGAATGCTCGCAGGTGGGTTTTTAGGTTGAATGACTTTGAAGAGATATATTTGGTAGAAATATCCCTTTTTCTTTTTGTACATTTCATACTTCCTTTTACTTTCTACTTGTACCAGGTTAGGAATCTTGAGGAGGCTGTTCAGGAGCTCTGGAGACGAAGAGATGAAGATGATAAGGACTTGAAAGCCAGCCTGAGGACGGCTGCTGGTTTGCCCTCCCAGGAAGAATTTTTTGAAATTTCACCTTTCTCTGATGATGAAGACAGTGGACCCTTGATGAAGAGTGAATACAATCGTTCTTTGAAGCTTTCTCTTAAAGGTTTGGGCGATAAATCACCGAAAAATGGCAAGGAGACTGGAAAGAAATCCTCAAAAAAGTACTGCAAGAAAAAAAGGAATGAAAAATTTTTGACTGGTAAAGTTGAAGTTTTACAAAGTCTTATTGGGCATGCTGATCTTGCAACTGGACCCAAAATTGGCGATGATAAATATGAAAAAATGCAATTTTCTGGTGAACGTGCTATGCTATCTCCTATTGCTGGAAGTTTGACCGAAAGCATATCTACAGGAAACGAGACAGCAGCCTCAAAGCACAAATATATTGATGAAGTGACAGCCACCAATGTTTCTAAGGGGTCTAGAACTATTAAGATAAAGAATAATAGACCATGGGACCCAACTAATAAGGAAGATACTAGAGTTAGTGGTGGTTTCCCCAAGACTGCACAAGGGCCCAAGCTTGTTATACATTTGGGAGGACGAAGTAGAAGTGCAGCTGGCTCGCCAAGGTCTGAATCTTGTAAGGGGTCGGAGTTGACATCAGTTAAAGGTATGCTCAGAATTGTTTCCACTTGCAAACTTACGGTTGAGTATTTCACGATTTTAATTAATGGGTCTATATGATTCATGTGGGACCAGTTGAAATGTTTAACTAGCAGTAGTTATGTTCTTATTTGTGCTGAGATTCATAGAATAGGTAAATTGCATGCACTTGTATCGGTGGATTGTGCTCATTTTACAACTATGTTCTACTGCATTTTGCCCTTGTAAATAAATATTAGAGTTTCTTTATTTTGTTTTTTTTGGGTCAGATTATGAGGATTTGAACTTTATGAACACTCTGGTTGGTAAAAACCAAATTATTTTTAACATAATCCTGTGTTCATGAACTTCCTAAATATACAGTAAAAATAATGATTTCAACATGTATTATGCTCCAAAATACCATCCGACACCTGGCCCCGCAAGGCTGCAACTATCAAAAAGAGGAAAGTGCTTGCAGGATATAAGAATTATGTTCTATGTTTGCCATCTTAATTTTTTGTAGTATCCTTTTATCCATTGGTGCTTATATCTTACAAAAAGCCTCTGTAAATTTTGTGTTAATGCAGGACGCAAAGCAGACCATACTGATCAAACGAAAAGTTCCAAACTGATAAAAATCAATAATCCCAATTCAGAACTTCCTAACACTAGCTTGAAACTCACTGCAAGAGAATTTTCTGATGGGTATCTATCTGTTTCTGCAAAGAAGACAAAATCTCTACTTGGGAAAAGAAGTGCCGGGGACAGCACACCTGCAAGTAGTGGGTCTGAAGCCCCAGTCAGCAAAAGGGCCAAACACTCTTCAACAAGACATGCTGATCACCGTGTATTTGTTGACACCGTAGACAAAGATCACGGTGTATTGGCCTCATCAAGGGATCAGAAGCCTTCGTTGAAGTTTAAAATTCCAAAGAATTCTAGTAGCGGAAACCAAAATGTTCCGGGTAATTTTGGTACTGGAAGTCAAAATTCACTGTCGCTTCGTGGAAAGGAAGACATAACCTACACAAGAGGTCAGAGGTCAAAGAGGAGGAGACCACCAGTAGGCGATGAGGATGGCGGGTCTCAATGGCATGAGGACAACACGATGAAGGAATTTACGGATGCCAACTGGGTCCTGCAGAAGTTAGGAAAAGATGCTGCTGGGAAGAGAGTAGAAATACACCAGCCGTCCAATAACACTTGGTGAGTTTTGCCCCTTTGTCTTCTGAAAATGTTTAGATGATACTAATACTTATGCTATTCTGTAGGACTCGAGTGTTCCTGGTGAAAATACTCGCCCCATTTTCTAGGAGCTGTTTATTTATTATTATTATTATTTTTTTTGTGTGGATCAGATTAGCTTATTCTTTTTGGTTATTAATAGTGAAATAGACTTTTATTCGGTCCTGGTTCGGTCTATTATGATGGTAAAATAACTCCCTCGACCTCAAAGTCTCCCTCTTCGACCTCGAACGGCAGTATGTTGAGAACTTGAATTTAGAAATTATTCTAAATTATTTTGAAACATCCCAAAGAGTCTTAATGTGTCTTTTTATCCCAAACACGCGTGTTTGAAGTTTGTTAGGATAACCTAATTTTTTCATAATAAAATTGTTGAATTATTATTACTATTATTATTTGTCGTGTTTTGTTGCAAATGTAGTTTGGTGTAGCAGTGTTGAGTTAGTCTTCCGTTCTTTTCCATTTTACCAGGCATAGGGGCACAATAATTGAAGTCTCTGAGGGTACATCAGTTGTTTCCATTGCTCTTGATAATGGGAAGGTCAAGAGCTTTGAACTGGGGAAGCAAGGTATCCGTTTTGTGTCCCAGAAGCAAAAACATTGATTTTAGACTTTTTTTTATTCAAATCTGAGGCGGCACTCTTCAGAGCAATTGCTGGAAAGGTTAATGCAAACTCAAGGATCGGTTAAGAAGTGCTTGGCAATGTTGTCAATTGCCGGTCTACTAGATTTGTTGTACGTACGGCTGGGCTTCATTCATGCTACAGGTCATTATTTTATAAGTTGGATTTCATTTCATTATCTAATTTGGGTAAGTCCATGTTTTTAGACCCCTTTCTGAGGTTTGAGGTTAGATTTTTAGTTTTTGCAATGTGGCCCTTGATTTTGGTTTAGTCAAAGAGTTGATGGCAGAATAATAGTCCTTTGTTTGTACTCTGTATTTACTGTAAATGCCTGAGAGTTCAATGTAGTTATGGTGCTCTCTCCTTGGAGAAATGGAATATGTTTGTCGGCCCTCGTGAAATTACATTTATGTGCACTTCAGTCTTCATTATTAAGTGTTCTATGTTAGAGGAAATAGCTATTTACACTTCACCACTTAATAACTATTTATGTGGTAGACATGTGAAGATAATTGAGAATCTGTGAAATGATTATACGACAAACTAAGCGATAGGCAAATGAAGTTAGCAAATGCAAAATATATATGCGATAAACTATGTGACAGTCAGACGAAATTAATTGAGCAAGTGTGAAATAAATATGCGATAGAGTATGTGACATACAATCAAAGTTAATTAAGCAAATGCGAAATTAATGTGTTAAACAATGCGACATAAAAAGATGAAGTTTATTGAGCAGGTGATTAATAATTATGCAATAAACTATGCAACAATCAGACAAAGTTAATTGACCGAGTGCGAAATAAATATGCAAACATGTGAAGTTAATTGAATGTGAGAAATAAATGTGTGATAAGCTATGTGATAAAAAGACGAAAATAATTGAGCAAGTGCGAAATACTTATGCGTTAAACTATGCGCCAAGAAGACGAAGAATTGAGAAAGTGCGAAACATTTATGCGATAAACTATGCGACAGAAAGATGAAGTTAATTGGGCAAGTGCGAATAAATATGTAATAAACTATATGAGAGAAAGACGAAGATAATTGAACAAGTGCTATATCATTATTTGATAAACTATGCGACGTATATGCAAAGTTAATTAATTGTACAAGTGCGTAAACATTATTTGGTAAACTATGCGACAACAAGAGAAGTTAATCGAGGAAGTGCATAAACATGATGCAATAACGAATATGCAGAGATCGATGTGATCAGTTTATTTCAAACATGAGTTCTTGTATGCGAATGAACCTGCAATATTTATGTGAATCTCTTCCAGCTTGTTCGTCTCTTCTTCCTGCACTAGCCGGATGATGATCACTTTCAGCTTGTTCGACTGATCAATTTATGGAGTATTTGTTGATATATGACATTTCAAGGCACGTATCAACGACTATTCGAATGACGATTTTATTTGGAACATATGTGATTACAAGACGAAACATTATACTCGCACATTAATTTAAAATGAAGTGTGTGAACATTATGCGATTACTAAGGGCATGATTGTTTATCATCCCTACAATAATTTTTTTACTCAAATTCAAATTTAACTCAACTTTAACTCAACCCCACTATCTCCAATATTATTATATAATTAAATAACATCAACAAATCATTATTACATATCACATCAACTTTAATTCACTATTCATCCACTCACATAATTCTAACTAATTTTAACTAACTATCACTTCCAATCGTTTTTCTCCTACTTTACATCAAATCAACTTTAACTATTTTATTTTAAATACTATTTTAATATATCCACTAACAACTAACCATACAACTTTTTCTTAAACTTAACCATAATTAAAAAATTCTAGTTTTTTTACTATTCAAACCATAAACAATCACCCCCTAAATATCCCAATCAAAACTCAAATATAACTCAATCAAAACTTAAATTTAACTCAATTTTAACTCAACTCAACTATCTCCAATATTATCAATATAATTAAATAATATCAATCTATTATTATTACACATCACATCAACTTTAATTCACTATTCATCCACTCACATAATTTTAAGTATCCATCACTTCTAATAAGTATTGTAAATGAACCAAACCGAACCGAGCTTGGGCTGTTCGAGCTCGTGTTCGTTTACGTTCGAATAGTGTCCGTGTTCGTTCGTTTATTTTTCGAGCCAAAAATCGTGTTCGAGTTCGTTCGTTTAATTGTTCGTCAAAGTTCGAATTCGTTCGTGTTCGAATAATTTAAATTTTAATACATAAACTTTTTAAATACGTTCGATTAACTCAAAATTTGTTCGTTCGAACTCGAAAAGAAAAGAATAAAATAAAAAATTTTATATTATATTTTTATTAAAAATATTATCTAAATATATAGCAAATAAATAAAATTATATTAAATTTTAGCTTTTTTAATAAAAATATTATGTAAATATATAAAAAATATAAAAAATAATATTAAATTAATGTTCGCGAACATAATCGAACGTTCACGAACAAGCTCGTGTTCGTTCGATTATTAAACGAGCCTAATTTTGTGTTCGAACTCGACTCGATTAACAAATGAAAGAGCTTTTGTCGAACACGAACAAGCTCGAACGAGCTTTTCTTCGCGAACGTTCCGGTCCGTTTACAGCTCTACTTCCAATCATTTTCTCCTACTCTTACATCAAATCAACTTTAATTATTTTAATTTAAATATTATGTTAATATATCCACTAACAACTAACTACTACTTTTTTTTAAAAAAAAACTTAACTATAGATGAAAAAAAACATATTTTTTACTAGTTGAATTCATATTCAATCACCCCCTAACCAACTCGAATCTATAGTCGGGCCGATTCCAATTAGTTCGCAGCCGGTTCCGGTTCATCTAAAGGCCTAGAACTAGGGCTGAGCATGGGACTTGGAGAATTCCGAACTGTTCTGAAAACCAAACCGAAAAAACTCCGAAATAACCGTTGACCGTTTGACTTTCTCCGAACCGAACCGAAAAAATAATTGGTACGGTTTTGGAGATTTCACAAATATCCGTACCGAGAACCGAACCAAACGTCCCGTACTGTACTGAACCGAAGAACCGAATTATAACATTAGATGTGTTATTAATATATTTTATGTCATTCGATTCTATATAATATAGTAATAAATATTAACCTTCACTTAAATTTCATGTTTAGTAATACTTGATCTACAATTGATTTCTTTTATTATAAAATAATTATTTAAAATAATATGAAAGTTTAAAGAATATTTTCGTAAGAAAAAAAATATTATATTTTATTTGAATTTTAAATTTTCAATATTAGTTGAACAAATTTAGTTATAACTAAAATTTAGAGTTACTTATAAAGTTGATTTCAAAATAAAATCTTTAATGTGAGGAAGTACTGAGGAATTTTATTTTTATTAAAGCATATGAAAATTAAATAAATAAAAAGAGTTACTTCTAGAATTGATTTCAAAATAAAATATTCAATATGATTAATTATTGATGAATGTTGTTTTTATAAAACATATAAAATTTAAAATATAATTAGGTAATCATTCAAAAATAATTTAAAAAAATAAAAAATCTCCGAAGATCCGAACCAAATCATACCGAACCGAACCGTCTCAGTAGACCCGAATTCCGAACTGAACCGAACCGAACCGAACCAAACCGACTTTCTGATACGGTTCCGAAGATCAAATTTTAGAATCTCCGAAGTTTAGTGCGGTTCTAGAAATTTATCAATCTCCAAACCGTACCGACCCACACTCACTCATACCTAGAACCATTGATTGACCACCTTTGCTCCAACTCCAAGACTACCGAAGTAGATAAAAGTCAACACGCGGATGAGAAACGTTGTCGCACGTGGGACCCGCCATTCATATGATCACCGGCAACCCACAGAGCCAGTCATCTAATTCCCTCGCCTAACTTTACTTTGTACATTCTGGGGGGCGGGTCAAACAGGTAAACCAGACGACTTCCAAGAGCTCGGACAAGAATGCTCTCGGCTTGGGCTAGGGTTTCGATTTTTAAACGAAAGAACAGAGGAGATAAATTTTGAGCTCCACATACAGGATTTGTATTGAATTTCGTAGAGGTACTTATTATAACTCAGGTAAAAATGCGGATCTTTGTCTACTTCGTTATAGGTCTGTGTCTTTTCCTGGTTCTTAGTGAGATCTTAGAGATGCAATAGATCTATTTGGATTTGATTTTACCATGTTTTTTAGGATTTCTTTTGTTCAGTTACTTATGTTGTTTCTGAAAATTCAGTAGCTTGCTTGCTTTTGTTGTGTCTGTAGCTGTGAAGGGTTCATATGAAAACTATTTAGCGCAAACCCATTTTGGTTATTCCAGGTAATATTAGAGTATAAGTGTTAAGATGATTTTTTTATTTTTTTATTTTTTTTATTTTTTTTTTTATAATTTAAGCATGCTGCATAGTTTTTGCTTTCATCCAAGAAAACGAAAATTTTGGTATTTTTGCATATATTATGGTAATCCACTGCAAAATCTCCAGTCTTTTCTCATTTGCTAGAGTTTAGAGTCTTCTCTGTGGTACCTTTTAGAATTTAGAGTCTTCAAAACCTGAACTGAGCAACTTATTATCAGTTTTTTTTAACTACTGCCATGTATCCATTTTATTCAGCTCTTTTTCTTCTTGAAATTGTCCTCCACGGAGCCTCAGATCATTGACGCATTCCTCGTATGGGTACATCATCTGGGTCCCACTTCAACAACCAGTCCTCCATGCTTCCACCCCGCCAGCAGCCCCGTCCAGGCGGGGGTGGGCTCCAAACGTCCCTCTCCTTGGTCTCACCTGATGCCTGCGGGTCCCCCAATCTCCATGAGCGTGGATCAAATTCCGATCACGTTCGTGAATCCCCTTCTGAAAGCGCCAGCTCACGCGAGACCTGGCCCACGGCCGATGCCTTGGTGGTGAAGAAACTGGAAAAGGAGAAAGAGCGAGAAAATGGTTACGCCGAACACTCGGTTGTCAGGCACGTCTCGAATTCGGACAAGCTGTCCCTGCGAGACCTGGCTCGAGAGAGAGTTGAGATTACGGCAGAGAGAATGCAGAACCTCCCGGATGAGTATCTCGACAAGTTTAAAAACGAGCTCAGGGCATTTCTTGAGGGTTTGGGTGGTTCTCAGCAGAGGGAAGAGTTCATATTCCTGCAGAAGCTTGTTCAGAGTAGGGGGGATTTGACTGAGAAAACGCTTGTGCTAGCGCACAGGGTCCAGCTCGAGATACTTGTTGCTATAAAGACTGGGATTCAGGCATTTTTGCACCCGAGCGTGAGCCTCTCTCAGGCTTCCCTTATCGATATATTTTTGTATAAGAGGTGCAGAAATATAGCATGTGGAAGTGTGCTGCCTGCAGAGGACTGTACGTGCGAGCTGTGCTCTAAGAGGAACGGGTTTTGCAACCTCTGCATGTGTGTAATTTGCAGCAAGTTTGACTTTGAGGTCAACACGTGCCGCTGGATCGGTTGTGACCTGTGCTCCCACTGGACCCATACCGACTGCGCTATCCGGAATGGGCAGATAGGGATGGGTCCGGCCGTGAGGAGCCAGCCGGGCTCAGCAGCGGAGATGCTCTTTAGGTGCCGTGCTTGCAGCCGTACGTCCGAGCTGCTGGGTTGGGTGAAGGATGTATTCCAGCATTGTGCGCCTAGCTGGGATAGGGATGCTCTGATTAGAGAGCTCGACTTTGTGAGCAGGATCTTCAGGGGGAGTGAGGACCCAAGAGGTAGGAAGCTCTTCTGGAAATGTGAGGAGCTCATTGAGAAATTGAAGAGTGGGGTGGTGGCGGACCCTGTTCCTTGTAAAGCGATCTTGATGTTCTTTCAAGGTAAAGTCTTTGTTCACATGGTTTTAAATTGTTATTGGCTGTATTTGTTGTGCGGTGTTATGCAGTTTACAAAGATAAATGAACTCTAAAGTTGTTTATTTGGATGCCAATTGGCTCTGGTAGGTGGACTAATTAACATGGAATTGTATATTTTCATTTATTGTGTGAACCCTTATCTTTAGATTTTAGAAGCTAACTTGGGCTTTTGGTTTTAAACTTAGCTTCATTTGAGTGTACATATCATCTTAGTTATTGTCTTAGCAAAATCGCTGAGTTTTTGATACTTATGCTGATTTGTTTACTTTAGCAGAGGGATATGCTGAACCAATGACAAGTTTTTCATGTAAAAAACTTTTTCATAGTAGTTTGGCATGTCTGTTTCTGGGGCTGCTACAATTTGGGAGATTCTTCATGCAATATTGGTTTTTTTTTCTGTGTATATTTTCATGTTCTTTGGTTTAACACTGTTCCCTTT